AACACAGAGTAGAGACATACAGAGACGTAACTAATGTACCCACTTTTTTGTGCGCATGCTCGGCAAGTTACTAGATGCATGCATCTGATTGGATGACGACCTGATGACGACTTACTTTAAACTTGCTGAGCACACACAGTTGACCATTTTGCTCCCGGTCGCCTGAAAAAAAATGGGTACATGATAACGTAATCTTCCACAGTGTTTACAACGGTCAGTTACGTCTCTGTATATCCCTCCTCTGTGGCTCAAATGACCACGCTGGATTTAAATTTTACGCATCACTGCTCAATCCCATTAATAAGTTCAAACTGCGAGCGGCTGGGCGGAATTCAAACCGCCCCATCCTCGGGACAGGCAAGTTAGAAAATGTCCCACAAAGACTCTATCTCAGCCACATGTGTTTCAGTAGGGACTGAGGTTGCTTCTGATTCGTATTCTCCCTTACAAAAAAGTTTAGAAACTAAAAGTTAATAACATTATATATTCTTAAATCGAATCCAGGAAAATAAATATAAATAAATTAAATGATCTTTACCTTCTGCAATATTCCAAAGACAACAGATGTGCTGCGAAGTCGCTATCACTACATTTTGTATACTCAGCTTCACTTTTCGGGTTTCTCCATGTCTCATATATCGTTAAAGATAAATATATACGTTTGTTCGCACTATTCCAGCCTTAGTTTTCAAGTTTATATGTGCGCAGAAAGGATGCGCACGCGGTGACACAGCTCCTTTAACTCGAGAAGCTTAACTCCAATATTATACCTATCTCCCACAATTCAAGCTGTGTGGTTGGTTCTGCTTTCAGTAAAAAATAACAAGTCAAAATATAATAAGTCGTTATAGAAGAAATTGTCTATTTGTACTCTAAATTGTTTGAATTTCATAACTTTAGCCCAGGAAATGTGTTGAAAATTTATAAAATTTGAATCGAAACACTTTTTAAATTTTTCCGCGCTTGCGCCAGGAGCGTCCGCTGACTGATGCATTCAGCACTATCCCATGGCATTTCCTACACACTCCTTGCCAGCTGCAAGGCAGGTGGATTATTTGAAACTAACACTCCTCCATTGACTGTAGTTCTAGTTTGGCGAATTATTAAATTAACTCTCCAGACTCCAGTATGCTTCGATAGATACTTTCATCATAGGCGGACGTTCTTTGGAAGTCTTCTGTTCATTGTATCATAACCAGCCTCGCTCTCGATACGTGTCTCTAGTGACAGCTTCTGCACTCTGGATCACTTTTGGTTTTCTTCCCTTTTCAGTAATCTTTATCCCATCTAATGACTTTGTTCATTCCTCTAACTATCTTTCAATGTTCCCTAATCTTCGCATAACCTGGAAGCATTTATCACCATGGAGGATGCCGATCGAGCTCATTTTCCTTTTAACTCCGGATTCCCACCTTTAAAACAATGCTATTCACCTAAACGTAAAAGATATTTACTACGCAATCTACTCCAGAAGTGTTCTTCCAAGGTCCTCTGATGCTTGGCTCGTTTCGCGTTTGACCTTGGATTACGCTCAGGTCACGCAGGCTTCCCTTTGCACGAGACTACTCTCTCTTGCCAATGAGATATGCGAGCATCAGAATGTCCCCAACGTCGTCAGCGTATCAATACACGTCAAGGTTTCGCAATTCAATACTGCTTCAACTTGTGCAAGAAGTGTTACTAATTCGTCATATAATAGCTCCGCTGTTCCTGATTGCTTTTTCAGACCGGTACAAACAAACATATGAACAAATTATATAGCAGATATGTCTAGGGAGATTTCGGGCATATAGTTTTAAATATTTGAGGATTATCAGGACTGCAATTAACTTCTAGTGATTTATGATAAAATTCCAGTAAGGCAGATCTAAAGAAATTGAATCAGTTCCTGTCATAATTTAGTTCATCTACTGGAGTGTTCCATATTCGACACATTCTGAAAAAATGACTGCTGGTAGGTACTGGTTTTACATTTACGGAAAAGATATTTATGTATAGCACTGGTTAATGATCGTGTCGTTCTGTGCATAACATGAGTGTCAGAAAGACCAGATGTTTCTATCAACATGTTTGTGATTTTGAAGAAGAAGATCAGGTCTAGGTTTTCATGACAGGAGGGTACGCGAAGAAAATGCAAGGATTTTAATTTTGTTTTATAGTCTACCTCTGTCGAAAAGTGCAAGTTCAAATATATTTTGTTGCGCGCCTCTGAGGTCTTTAGTTCTAAGTTCATGAGTTTGATCAGCCTAAATTAGATTACAGGACCAGTTAATTTTCTTTTGCGCAAATTGTGTCAATAGTTCTGGTGATTGAAACAACGATGCGGTGTATTACAGCATAATACTGTCTGCAAAAGGCTAAAAACGAGTTGACCCCATTCTCATGAAGAACTGCTCCCTAAATTATTGATAGCTTGCACCACTGACTCAACCGCGATCCTGAGGTTGCGACGGCGTATTTCACACCATGGAGATTATAAAACAATAGAATGGGTATTCAGGGAAAAATCAATCGAAGCTTCCTAATGGGAGCAAAAAACGCTCTCTGGTTCGCTAAAAGCTTGTTGCCCGGATGCAAATTCTCATTCCAGTATTTGAAGTCGCGATGTTTGGAAAGAGCGTGAATTTACAAAAATAATAGAACTTTGAAAACATCGATTTTCGCCAGTTTTAACACAGTCCAAACATGGAATAGAGGCTCAAAATCAACAAAAAATAGATGGACTTTAATACAAACCAATTTTGGAACTGTAGAAACGCTTTAAAGTGGGATCTAAAATGGGATCTAAAATGTTTGAAAAATATGGAATCTTTGACATAAAGAAATAACATCGAAATAATTATATTCAATTTGTCTGAAATATAAAAAATGTGTTCTTTTATTTGTGTTTCTCATGACGAATTTTATAATTTATCTGATTAAACCCATCTTTTCTCGCTAAAAAAAATATTCTCAGGATGAGTGTGTGTAAGGAAATCATGCTAATGAATGGCAGATTTATAGTAATAAAGGTATGTCATGCACGCTGCCCGTTAGTCCAAACATGCTCACGCACTCTAATTGATTAGTATAATGTCACTAATGTAATTTTTTTGTTGAGTACCATGAATTTCAGCACTTGCTGTCTAGTGACACCCTTTAAGATGACGTTTTTTTACTTTCTGCTGTCTCCCACATAAATTCATTGCTTCAAGATTTTGTCGTACATGGTTATATACAGCTAAAGTGCACTTCCCTGCACTTGCTTAAAAATCTTGGTGGATCGGTACCTTTTATTACTGTTGGCAATTTAATGGGATAAAAAATAAATATTAACAATTTTGATAGAAAAAAAAGTGGTAGGCCTAGTATTTTTTTCCGTGACGTTGTCTTCTGATTGCCCGATGAGAGCTTTATAAACAATCATACGGATCCCTCGCGTTTCCGTAAAAACAAACCAACGAATGATGTCAATTTTTAGACTCAAAAAATATCAAAAAAGGTGAAAAAGGTTGCTTCAGTGGATTTAGTGTCAAGCCCAAAATGTATTTTTATCCCAACAAATTTCGAAAAACATGTATTTTTCACATATACTTATTTATTTATTTAATTCGCCTTGTATAAGGTGTCACATTTCAGGAAAATCCATGTTGCTGGGATCTTCATATCGATGATCTTCTGTCGAAGGCTAGTGGGCGTACGTACATATTGAGAGTGTGTAGAGTGATATGGTTACTCTGCAGATCAGCTAAGCAAATTATTCGATTCGCTAATCATGTCACTCTTTTACTATTGCATTAAAGTGTGGGCATCTGCTCTCCAAAAGAAATATTTGGATCGTATAGACAAGTTTTCCGGCGGGCTTATCGTTATGGATATACGACAAAGAGTATTAAGATATCTAAAGTGATCGAGGAGACAGACAGAAAATTATTTAGCAAAATCGTATCGAATCCAAAACATGCCCTACATGAATTGCTTCCTGTGTGTAAACAAAGGATTTTAAGACAAAGGGAACATAACTTTATTTTACCTCAAATTAAAACGGAACGATTTAAACGATCGTTCATAAATAGATGTCTTTTTAACTATTTTTAGCTTTCATATAATTAATTAGGATAGATTAATTTTTAGCTGTAATAAATAGGAATTTGACATTTGTAAAGTTGCACGTCTGTTGTGACTCCAGACAATAAAGACTTTAATAATAATAATAATAATAATAATAAAATAATAATACAGTGGCAGGAAATCCGCAACAGCGTTTGCTAATTACTGCGTGCCCGAATAAATAAACTACGACAATACTTATATTAAACAACAAAGAAAAGTACTAATAGTTCCTACATACAGCACAATATATAATGACGCTGTGAGGCTACGAACAGAATTACACTTAGGACATATAGTTTTATACCAAGAGCTACAACTGCAAGTTAATTTAATAATAAGGATAGAATATTCGATAAACTTTGAACGTTTGATGGTTCCATTAAGCTTTTAGCCGGATTGTATTATAATCGACATCACATGACCAGAGTTGAAAGAATCAAATTATCAAACTGATTCACTATAGTTGTACCAAGTCAAGACCAATGGAACGAGAAATGAACCATGGACGTGCTGGGGTGTTGAAAAGAACGACGAATGAGCTACGTCTGGTGGGGCCCAGGCCCAGTGACGGATAGATGAAAATTGCGGTGGGGTAACAATACATGGCAAAATGTTTATTCTGATGCTCATTTTCTGAGTCTCCTTTTTCGTATAAATCACATTTGCACATGAAATTTGCCAAAATTCAGTATTTTCTTTATTTTTAGGCGATTTTACATTCTATTAGCAAAAAGTTGAAAGACAAGCACATCTTCTCATTCTTCTGACCTAATCACATTTCATTGGCATAACCTGTATATATGAGAAAATTAATAGAGTATCGGCGCCAAATGATCCTGTTTTAAAAATCTTGAAGGAATTTGCATATGTGTTGGCAGTTCCACTGACGGAGATATTGAACGATTCGTTTAGAGGAAAGTACTTCCCCAAAATACGGAAACAATATAAATTCTGGCTGTTGGATTGCTTTTGAAGCGGTGGCTTATCGACATATCTTCAGCTTTGATGTTTACATTTACTAAATTACCAATAGAGCATACTAGGGTATCGGTATCTTCACCTTCTTGAACGGCAATACCTCGTATCTCGAGGCAATTCTGGCGATCATATTGTTCTAGTTCATTGAAATTTACACACATTTGCTCCGATTGATTCGGCAAGTTAAAAATTTGCTTTTTGAGTAATTTATTTTCTTTTACTAGCTCATTAATCATCTCTTCAATGTACTGATGTTTAATCAGCAGTTCATCATATTTTGCACTGATAAATTCGACCGACTTCACGAGACCTTCCATTTTGTCTTCGAATGGTTTTAACTTTCGGTCAAGGATCTTTACTAAGTAGTCTTCTGTAAGTTTTGACGGCATAGCAACTATTAGACTATTTGACAGACATAGACTATTTGACGGCATAGCAACAGTAAGATCAATTTTGTTAATATTTGAAATTTGAATCCTAGTATCAACCAAGTAGGCTTGCAAACAAATTTTGACTATTCATGGCAAAACTGCTCAGGTGTTTAAAATCAACTCTTCGTCATTGAATAAATGGGGTTTTTTTAAGATTGCTTGAATTGTTTCACCGTTTCAGAAGATACATGAAATCAGGCCACGTGTGTGACCGACATATTAAAGAAGCCATTTCCTGCATTCTGAGCATCCAAATGTGCTCTAAAATTTACGCTAACTATACTTGTATTTGAAATAAAAGAAGGAAAGAACGCACAAATTAAAAAAAAAAATTAACAATACTTTATCGTTACTTAGTGTTAGAAAAACGTAGGATGCGCAAGCGGTGACGGCAGGGGCGGATCTAGGGGTCGTCAAATTAATCAGTCGCGCGACTGAAGTAAAAATTGCCTTCTTAAAATAATCGACTACAGCTATCTATAGTGGCCAGTAGATCGTGCAAATAAAATTTCGAATCATAGTCCAGTTATACGTTTCATGCTTCGGCAGATCTTCGGCAAAGTAATGTTAGTCAGTCACGAACAGCGGTTTTACTCATGAATGTTGACGGATTCGGGGTTAATTTCGGCTATCTTATTGGCTCACAAGTTCATTACCATGATCACGTCCCAGGCGGTGTGTGTCACGAAAATAGACCAATCAGGAGACGCTATTCCCGGCAAGTATTTGCGCGTCTACAAAGCATAAATAAGAGTGATTCATTCGCATTTCTCTTCTATTTACACGACATTCATTCTAAAATTTAAGGAATAAATTGCGTAAGTGTGTTTCTAGTTATTTTCTTCGCAAGGTGTGTTTTCGTGAAAGTCTTTGAAAGCTTTCTCTGCGTGTCAAAGATATTTACACATTTGGTTATTGGAAGTCGGCCATATTGGATTTAGCGCGAAAACTACTCTACGGAATTCGTACAAAAACGATCTACTTTTTGAGCTAAACACTAATCGTTTTCGATGGTTATGTTGTTCAAACATTGCTTTAATGAAATATTGGGGTCTACCCGGGTCTACCCCTGATAGTTTTTGCTCTGGAAGCAATTGAAAATGAAGAGATCTGCGGTGGTGAGTGGTTCGCCTCCTGGTAAACCAATTGCCAAAACCTACAGAAGTGAGCAAAGATCTTCATCTAGAAAGTCGCTATTCGATGTCCACCGCAAGGAGGTATGTAAATAAATTACTATGTTTCTATATTTACGTGTATAAATGGTGTTATTCAACGTACAGAAAATATATTTTAAATTAAAAATTTTAACTCCTAAATTTATATTTCTGTTTAAAATTTACAAATTCTTTAGAAAAATGGCCCAAAATTACTCATAATTTACATTATTCTTTGCCAGCTTGCCCAATATATAATGTATGAAGGATCTGTGACTTTGTACTCAACAACTGGGGTCTGCGAGTCAACATACATGTAGGTCAGATATGGTCTCCATCCCCAGGTCAATGTACTGTAGTGCTGCCAACTATAAAATACTGAGGGAAATCTGTGACAGGGTGAAATTCCACAATGCAGACATGGAACATGGAGTGCCACACTGGAATTGCAGAGTTGCAGGTTTTGACCTGAAAGTTACATTTTGCTACTGCAGTTACAGTATATTGTTTTTTTTTGTCTCAAGGTTGGGCGTTACTTGTAGTGGAAGTATAAACGATAAAACAACATTAAGTTCTTATTCATGAGTGAAATGCCCAAAATAAGTTATTGATTTAGGCTGCGTCTGGACTGGGTGCCCGGCATTTGTTTTGGCGCCTAGTTTGAACATGATGCTTCCAAATGAAATTGGGAACCGTGCCCAAGAAAGGGCACGAGAGGTAGTACTCAACAACCGGCACTGTGCTCAACATGTTTTGTGAACCATTTTGAACATTGGGCACCAGTGCCGGGCACTCAGTCCGAACGCAGCCTTATACTCTTGTTATAATACATATTTTAAAAGGGGTCTTTTTCAAATTGATTTAAAATAGGAATATGAAGGAAACCATCCAGAGCCATGGTCAACAGCTAGGAGAGGAAGGCATTAGTGGAACATGTAGCCCTTTTTACACCTGTTATATTAGTGGCAAGCCATTTTCCTGGCCAGCAACAAAAAATTCTGAATTTTGGAACAAATGTGCAGATGCAATTTCATATTCCACTGGAACAATGTCTTTTTCTATTGGATTAACATTACCAACAGCCAAATCTACTGCATATCCTTGGGGTAAAAGACTTAACAAAATGTCAAGGATCACTAGTAATTGTATTTCACATAGTGTAGTACTATTAGCAAGAACAAAAGTTGCTACATATTGTAATATTTACTGTCGATTATGCATTTATGGCATGAAGAAGCCAACAACACATAATTAATGTAGAAAACAAAACACTAACTTCAAATAAAATTAACAGATGGAAGGATACATTCCACAACACTCTTTCAACTTTGCACTCACTCCAGTGTTGCCAGTTTCACTCCATTGGCTGAGAGGTACTGTTGTTGATTTTTCTGGATAAAGATGGTCTGATGCATAAAAATAGTATGCGCTGAAGTAAATTTGTCATCATAGTCTTGCGGGGCATTTGCCATCTGTGTCAGGTAATTTTTACCAAATGTAAAAGGTTATTATTTACCAAATGTAAAGGGTGTTGGAATTGTCACAGCCACAAAAGTTGTGAAAAAAATGCTAACTTTCTTTCACAACTTTTGTGGCTGTGACAATTCCAACACCTTTTACATTTGGTGAATAATCGCATCCTGCTGCTATACATATATTCAGGAAGGATGGTTGGTCCACTCCAACAGATTCCAAAACTAAATTCATTTTAATGAGATCACCTGAACCACTGAGTTGAAGTTTAAACAGCACCTACATATTAATATAAGGGGAAAATCTAACACACCAAAAAGACACAACACAATACATAAGAGGAA